GGGGGGGGTCCTCTAGAGGGACTACCTTTAGAACTTCCCCCTATGTTTCTACTGAACATCAAATGTATTTGGTTTTTTAATCATTAGCTCAATTTCACACTATGCAATAGTTTTGAGCAGTTTAATTTAAGTATTACATTAAACTAAGATGGTTATTTAGTTGTATTTACAGCTGTTGTTGACTTTTGTAAGACAGTATTTGAACTGATTGTATTTAATTTAGCATCAATCTCCTGCTCTTATATGATTTTTTGATGTTGTGACCACATGTATGTCTCTAGTCTGCTCCCATTTTATTTTTCTACAATGGGACATTTGTGATCCTAATTTTCTGTCTTGATGTGCATATTTAAGTGACTGGCTTGGTTGTAATTGACTGCAATAGCTAAGATTTTACTTTTGTAGCTTGTGACAGAGACTGTTGACCATTGTCTCACTTACCAGAGCAATAACTTGAGTAACATAAAACATATCTTATTCTTGTCAATACTAAAATATTTTGAATCTATTAATTGTCCTACTTTTCAATTAAGGTAAGCAGAATGTGTAATTATCCAATTAAAATAAAAATAGTTAGCTTTACACGTGCTTTTGAAAAGAATGATTGTGTCTCATTTTGTGGAAGTGTTTTTGAGCACAGTGTAGTTTCTTTGTCCATGTAAACTGTAACAGGTTTTTTGTAACATAGAATCTTGAACGAAAGAGTTATAACTCTTTGTGCCATTTCTTTGTTCCCATTTTTTTTTCTTTTTTCTTTTTCTTTTTGTTGTTCTGTTGATTGTACTTGGAAGTGATTGGAAACAACAGAAACAATGTGCCATTTGGATGAAGAAACCAGTTTGATGATGTTCTTAGTGGGCTTAGTAAGTTATGAAATTTTGATCAGTCTGCAAATTCAGCTTGCAAGATCAGAATGTAAATAGGGACCTATTTTTCAGTCCTCCTCATACCACATATCAGAGGTGCAAAGCGGTCCCATGCGGTTCCAAAGCGGATTTTTATCAAATCGCAAGAACACAGCTTTCTGAAGCCTCAGCGACCCCGCATAATTATGAACCAAGTAGTGTGTCCTCAACTTGATTAAAAACAGTACTGGACAGTGAGGACCGCTTTGCACCTCTGCCACATATACTTGTGTTTCATATTGATATAGTCTATTGAATAATTTGAACTTTTCCTTCCATCTTTGTTTCCTCCTTTATTCTTATGCTTATTTCAATAGGAACTGTAGAGCTGTAAAAATTTAAATCTGAAAGTTATTTGCTATAACAGTCCATATATTTATGCTCATGGTGAAACATTCATGTTTTGCTAAGGCAGTGTGGAGGAAAACATTTAAAGGGAGTAAAGTAACACACTTGTAGTATCAGATAAAGACTGAAACTTTTTTGTTCTGAATAGTTTTTGTAGCCCAAGAAAAATGTTTTGCTATTTTGAAAAGAACATGAATACATGTTCAATTTCTTGAAATGTTGACTGGGACGTGAGCTTTTTATGAATTGATGATACTTTGTTAATGTATTATTTTTCTGCATATTTCAGAAAAGCTGTGTATGAGATTTATCTTAATGTAAATTTACATCCCTTTCAGTAAATAGCACACATTAGAATATAGTTCATTTTCAAAGTCTAATATTCCTCTTTTGTTTCTTCAAGTCTGCCATGTCTGCGTTTTAAGTCAAAATTGAAAAATTTAACAATTTTACTCTGGAGATTTTATGAAGTGTTTGCAGGTGTTCATTGGTGTGCTGAAAAGATCAAAATTCCTATGAAAAAAAGATACTTATTGCTCTATTTTAACTGTTCTATCAATTAAATGGGTATGTTTCCTGTCCATGGACATCAATGTGATTGGTAGATATCAATTTTGTTAAAACTGAACTGTAATTTGCATTTCTTCATGTATCTATGTCGGAACTGAATTGTGCTAGATGTTTATAACTGATTCAGACCAATGAAACGTCCTAAATGTATTTTTAAACATATCAGAATGTGTCTGTGTGTTTGACCCAATGTTGTTTAAACAGTTGTTGATGTACGTAAGTAAAGCATTATTATTTCTAATATTTTGTTCACTGATTTGGAGAGAGTTGTGGTATCAATACGTATCAGCATACCTTCATTTATTTTCAACAAAACAAGATTTTTTATGATGTGCCTTTTAATTACACAAAAAGTAGAAGGCTACACTACAGAAAATTGGCAGTGCTGCTTAGCTTATATTGAGGTTAACATTCAATCTACAACTTTTATGAGGTACCTGTTTTATCATATGGCATTGGCGTATCTATGATCCTTTATCAATTACTGACATTCTGTTAGGTAGTTTTGTTATATCTTTCATTGGAAATCCGATGACATTTTGAGAGTGAATGTCTTCGGCAAGTCAGTATCAGTTCATTGATTAAATCTTAAATCAGAAAAAAATGAAATTGTCAATATGTCATGTGTCTAAATTCAGGTTGGGCAGGGTTGTTACTTTGATGGTCGCTCATTGCTGCAGCATCGGTACCCTATCTTTTATTCAAGATCTAATTGGAATTCCCTCAAACAAGCTTTAGTAACTCTAACAGAATACCACACCACACCACTATGCAGGCAAGGACTGCCCGGACCGTGAAACATCACTGGGCCTGCCCAGCCAAAGATCCAATGTCGGAATTTAGGTGCACCTCCCCCCCCCCCTTTTTCCACGAGCAAGGTCAGGTGTCCGCGTCTCGAACCCCTGCCAAGGCAGGCAGACCGCTAGGCGCGTGGCGCGGCGAGCCCCTTGATGGTCAGTTCCTGCCGCGTGCGCCACGCAGCTGGGGTGCCCCCCGCGAGGCCAACGCGGTCAGCCTATGCTAGCTAGGGAGGGGGCGTATCGGGGTGGGCTAGGGCTAGCAGGGCTGGGGGCGAGTCTGTGAACTGTGACGTCACTGCCCGCCCGGGCACGCAAGGTCGCTTATTCGCTCGCCCTGCGGCTGGCACTCAGTCCCACTGGAAGAGGGCGACGCACAATCAGTTATTCTCACAACAATTAGGGTCCATCACAAACGTTTACTTCTCGACCCTCTCGGCGCCCGTCATGGCTGCGGGGGTTACTCGTAGCAGGACGAGGGCCCCGGTGGGGTGGGCGGCTTGTCGCTGTTGTTGTTGGTCACGTCGCTCGCACTGCTGGTCTGGTCCAAGACGATGAAGGCCCGCGTCGTCGACGACGTAGTAGAAGTGGAGGCTGCTTCTCCCGTCGACGAGCCTGCATCCCCCTTGGCCATTAAGAGGTTCTTACTGTTGATGTTCGCGACCGCGGCTGGCGCCCTTTGGGCCCGCGATAAGCCGTTCTGTCTGTTGTTTTTGTTGACATTGGTGCCTGGTGGTGGTGCCGGAGTGATTTTGTTATTGTTATTAATACCATTACTGTTGACGGTAGCGGAGCTTGCTGACGGTTCAGCCCGAGGAACAGGTAATGCGGAGTTCGGAGCCGCAACGTTGTTCGAGAGACTTGGCGCTGGAGCAGGGGCGGCAGCGGGAGCGGGGGCACCAGTGGAAGAGGCGGCTGGGACGGCAGCGGGGGTGGCAGCGGGATCGGCAGCAGGGGCGGCAGCAGGGGCGGCAGCAGGGGCGGCAGCGGGGGCGGCACCAGGGGCGGCAGCAGGGGCGGCAGCGGGGGCGGCAGCGGGGGATGCAGCGGGGGCAACAGCTGCGGTGGCGGTGGGGATGGCAGTGGAGACGACGTCCACGGAGGTGATAGTGGCTGGGGGCGGCTGAATGACAGCCGGGGGTGGACAGCAGCCCGCCACGTACTGGTGCACGGGGGGCAGGATGGAGGGGCAGTAGGCGGGCTGCGACTGCGGTGGCTGCACGAGCTGGCCGCTGTTGGCAGTTGGAGGCGCTGGTGGTGGCGTCGGCGTAGGTGTGGGCGCCGTCGGCGTCGGCGTCCCCGGGGCCAGGCTGGGACAGTAGGGTCCCGGGGAGTAGGCCTGGTGTGTCGGTGACCAGTTGGGGCAGAAACCGCCGAAGTAGAGGTGGTGAGGGGGACTCGCCCCCGTGCAGTAGTAAGGGGCGGGCAACGGTGCCGCCAGGTACACGGGCATGGGCATGTAGTGCGGCGCGGTGACGTCGCCGTACTGCCCGCCCGACGTGTCCGCAGCTTCACCGCCGTCGCGGTCGCCGTCGCCGCCGCCCTGGTCGGACGGGCTGCAGGACGCGTCGATGGAGGGCGGCGCGAGGAGTACGGGCGAGTAGCCGTGCGGGCTGAGCGGTGGACTCACGTGCAGCCCGTAGCTCTCGTCCGACCCGTATCTGCAAAAGCGGAGAATGGTCGGAGAATGCTCGCAGTTCTTGTCAAGAGAACTAGGACTAGAACTCGGTGCAGCACTCTGTGTAGATAGTTCTCGGAGAACGAAATAAAAAGTTATCCTTCGAGCCGGATTTGAACCAGCGACCTATGGATGTCTACTGCGCTTTGCCTCTACAGTCCACCGCTCTACCAACTGAGCTATCGAAGGAGGATGGGGGAAGGGGGCATCCGGCTGGCTTGGATTGTACTGCGCGAGCTCGCCCGCCGCCGAGCCCGTGCCGTGCCCCCCTCTCCACTCCACGGCGGCCCCCCTCCTTTCTGGCCTTGGCGCGCGCGCGCGCGCGGAGAAAGGGGAGGGGGAAGAGAGGGGGAGGGGAAGAGAGGTGAGTGGGCACACCCGCCGGCCCTACACACACACACACGCGCACACAGCGTGCCGCTGGCATATCCATTCACACAGGCGGGGCGGGGGCTCTCTTCTCCTACTCTCCCTTCCCTCCTTCCCCCCTCCTCCCCCGCAGCTGCTGGTGGGGCACATCAGCTGAGAGGCTGCAGAGATCTCATTTCCAATTAGTTGTTGCCAGCGCCAGCGCCACACCTGAGCACCCTACGGGAGCGCACCGCCCGCTCAACCTATGGGTGTGAGTGCGAGAGAGACAGAGAAGGGGACAGAGGGAGTTGGCGCGCCAATTTCGCAACAAGTAGACCCGACGCGACTCACACGCACAGCTGCGGGGAGCAGCTGCCTAGGGGGGTCGGGGGCGCAAGCACACCAGAGAGGGACATGGAGCTGCACGGGTACACACACGAGTAGTAGGTGATTACTGGTAGACGCAAGCAGAAGCGAAGGGATTGCGTCCTATGGGGACGCCCCCTCCCCCCCCCCCTCACGCGTGTCTCTGTCAAGTTTACGACCATGAATTTCAATATTCCAATACTCTGGTCCGATGAACACCGACGCACACACAGACACACAGTGAGGTGCCGCATCAATATCACCCGAAGGCACCGCCGCTGCGACCACCGCCGGCGGGCGGCAGAGCGGTGGTCATTCCCATTTTTACGACACCCATAGGCAGAAGAGCGAGAGGCCACGCCCTACAGCCAAAGGTAAATCACTTGGACACACAACAACACAGTCACCACATATCGCGGCGGCGGGGGCATCCCATTGCCACCTGGGCCCTAATGAAGGGAGCGGAGCCACAGATGCGCGCGCGCCCACACACACACACACACACACACACACACAGTGGCGCCGCCGGCGACACTCCTGGCCGCGAAGAGCCTGATCCCTGCAGCGCGGGGTACCTCCCCTCTCCCCTCCCACCCGCCGTGCATACAGCCGCGCCGAGCTCATATCAGGCTCCGGGCCCCGCTTATCACGAGGGCCGGAGGGCCGCCGGCGAGGAGAGAGGGTTGTCGTCGGCGCTCGGCGCACGCGGGTGAGGAACGCCCCAGCAGCCCCGCCAACCCCCGGCCGGCCGGAACGCCCCGGGGAACACAGCAGCAGCCCCCGGGCCCCACAGCCTCCAGACTCATCCCTCACAGAGCTTATCTGCTACAAGGGCTAACCCCGGCCTGCTAGCCCCCACCCACACCAGGCACCACCCGTGTTCCACCTAGAAATGTTAAAACTAAAAAAAGTTTTTAGAAATGCCCCACCCACCCACACACACACAAAAAAAAGGGGGCAGGAGAGAATAACTCAAACTTTAATAATCTCAGACACACTAATTGTTGCGAATTGTTGACTAGTTTTAAATTGCCAAACCTATAACTTACTAAAACTTCCACAACCTGGCAGTGTGCAAATAATCGGTGGAGTCGACTCTGGATGACGTCACCGGCTATGCATATGTACTCACACGGACGCTGCTGTCCCACCCACACCGCCGAGTGAGTGTGGCGAGTTTGCGTGCCGCCTGCTCCGAGAATCTCACCTGCAACAAGCAAAGAACACGCTGTATTAGGAGACGGTCCACAAGCGTTACAATGAGCGTTCTCTCTCTCTCTCTCTCTCTCTCTCTCTCTCTCGTTCCCTATCCAGCACCACGACCCCATATGCCTCTACCCTATAGGTACTTTTGCAGGCGCGGACGGCGGCGTGTCGCGCGTAAATTTGTCATTCCGCGACCATGGGGCCCGGGCCGACGCGCTTGTACTGCACATTCCGCTAGAGACACATGGGCTGGCTGGGGCACAACAGTGACGGATGTGACACGAGCGTGCCTCCCCCCTCTGTCTCTTTCCACCTCCCGCACATTTCGCACTTGTTTTATCGCCGCACTTTCATATTTCCTTGTCATTTCGTCCAGGTCGCAACACCGAAGAGCTGCTGCCGAGTCCATTTACCGACCGCTCGAACCGCTACATTGGTCAACGCGGCGTTCCAGTAAACGCTCGTCCTTCTCGCTCGCCGAGTCTCAACTAACTATAGCCATCGCGCAAAAGCTGGCAAAACTGGTCGCGGAATCTGAACGCAACAACAGTACAGAGAGTTGTACTTTTGCAGAAGCTCACGTGTAGAGCTGGACAACCGGTCGGGCAGCAACCTCAGGGTGTGCGAACGAAGGGAGCATGAACCGACAGCACCGCCCCCGAAACAAAGCCACTCACCCTCCTCAGGGTGCAGCGACGTGCTTGGTCAGCGATATGCACCCAGAAAACCTGACGTGAGACGCGGTCAACATATCAAGCAGCGTAGCAGCACTGGGAGGGGTGTTTCCAAACCCGCTGCGGGTCCAAGTCCGAGGAGAAGTCGTGTTCACCTCGCACATCCAAAGCCGAGTGTGCTGAGGCAAGGGGAAGGTGGTGGAAGCAGCTAGCAGCAACAGCAAGGGCGGCGCGCTAGGGTGAAAAGCGAGCGCCCCCGCGTAAAGCACCCTCGGGCAATTTTCACAATCCCCCCCGTGCAGCAGCCCAGGCAGCGCCCTCTTTATGCTTATCAGGCTTTCTCTATCTGCCCCACAGCGATAGACCTTGCATTCTATTCCACGTTTGTGTGCCTATAGACCGACTGGGCCGGGCCAGGGGGACGTGGCGGGGCGGGGCGGGGCCGCCCCTTCTTCGGTAAGTGTTTTCCCTCTCCTACCAATCCGCACCACCACCACGCGCCGCCACGCCACCACGTGCCTCGGGGGAGTGCGACTGCGTGTGTGACGGCGTCGAGGCAAGGAGTTAGAAAGAAAGAGAGAGAGAGGGAGGGAGAGGAGGTCGAGAGTGAGGCGCGGGCGCAACCCGCTTCCCCTTCGCGGTGCCTTATTCTGCGTCGCCGAGCACGGTGGCGGCAAAGGCGACGGCACACGGCAACAGTGAGTGCACAAGCAAGGTGCAAGGCGGGTGGGAAGTGCAAGTCCACGACTGGAAACACACTGCAAAAGGAGGATGTGTATGTTTTACCCCGTATAAGTGCAACCTCCACGCACTCCCACGCAAATCCGCTCCGCCGACCGACCCCCTCCACTATACTCGGCACAGGCGCGCACAAGCAAACGCCTCTCTCTCTCTCTCTCTCTCTCTCTCTCCCACACCTTTTAAGAGGAGGCTAAAGTCCCGGCCGTCCAGCGCGCTGGCGGGCTCCGCGCGGCGCTCGCAACGCCTTGCACGGGAAGACTTCTCACATTGTTTCTCAAAAAATCGTGCACCAAAAAAATCCAAATTCGGCAGGTGGGTCCTTGAAGGACTAATCTCGATGTCGAACGCATTCGTTTGCCTCCGACATTGCCTGTTTTGCCTACAATGAACCCATTGACTCGGCCACAACA